AACAAACAAAAACATTACTATGGAAGTCAATGGCTACCAGCAACTGTTTGGTTACCAACGTTCTTCAAAAACAAAACAAAACAAAACAAAGCTAAACAAAACAAAACAAAACAAAACAAAACAAAACAAAACAAAACAAAACAAAATTTGGGCATTGACAACGTCTGATACTAATCACAAAGTCATGGTTTAACAAAAACAAAACAAAACAAAACAAAATTTGGGCACTGACAAGGTCTGACACTAATCACAAAGTCATGGCTTAACAAACAAATAAACACACACACACACACACACACAAAACAAAACAATTGTTCCCTTTCATGGGAACTTCGAACTGCGTCCTCTAGGGGTCGCTATGGGGAACGCCTCGTCGTGACGGAACCATGGTTACATAAGTAACCTGAGACGTTTTTTTTTGTTAAACCATTGACACTCAGCCAAAAAAAAAAAAGCAAAGCAAAGCAAAGCAAAACAAAACTAAATAAAAAAGGAGCATATGGGCATTGACCATGTCTGACACTAATCACAAAGTCATGGTTTAACAAAACAAAACACAACAACTAAAAATAACAAAAAACAAAAAAATGTAAAATAAAAACAAAACAAAAACAACAAAAAACTAAACTAAAAACAAAACAAAACAGCTTGCCATGATGCTCGACAGCAACACTATACTTCCAAAAACTTATGTTGTATTATTAATTGCATCTGACACATTTCCGAACACGAGCAAGAAGCATTTTTGTTCATGCATACTATGCATTCACGTACATTCAGTATCTTTTGGGGCTTAGTTTATTCCTCCCTGAGACACATTTTGTCTAAAGTAGCAGAAGAAACAGCTCTGAGATCAGTGGGAGAAAGGTAGACTCGACTGTCTCGACTGACGGCACTCAGCCAAGCGACTGGCCAGAGAAATTGCAGCCAGGGGCGAAAAGATGGTGCACCTTTGATGTGCTCGCTCTCTATGACACTCCACACTTCTGCCCTTGTGTCTCCGTCTTTCAATTTGTGTCTTCCTCCCCAGTGTCTCTTTATGATTCATCTCTCTCTTACAGAAAATTTATTGAATATAAAAGCATATCAAAGGACTTTGTATTGGCACAGTGCATTTCTGCAGCTTATGTTTGGTTGCTTTGGGAGTTTAAATGTGACTAAATGCATGTACAGAGACATTTTGTCGTGATTAATCTGGTCCAGTATGAGTGAGTGTGTGTGTGTGTGTGTGTGTGTGTGTGTGTGTGTATGTGCATGGTGAGAGATAGACATATGGAGAAGTGTCTACAGTTTGAGAATTAAAGACGCTCCGTCTGTGAGGGAGATCGAGAAAAACAAGGCGCCATTGGCTGCTTGACAACTCCATTAAATCGTCAATAGTCACGCTGTGTGGGCCAGAGCAAACTGTGTATGTGTGCATGTGGTGTTTCATGAAGCAGTGACAGACTGTCCTCGCATCATTCGGCGTCACTCACATACAGCTTCTGTTATGAACGATACAACAGAAAATAACTACTGTCCCTGTGGAAAAATACAGTACTGTACAGTCACAGTTTGAAGATTGAACACACATACATTCCTAGCAAGGGACATAGAAAATCAATCACAGTGTGTATATTTATATATACTTTTTACTAATTTAATTTATATGAATAAATATTATATAATGACAATCTATGTATTTATGAACAAATGGATGATTAATTTATGGATGTCCCTAATCTTCTGGGGTGAAATTAAAAAGTATGGTGCAATTAATGTTGCACTATTATGATCTATGGAAACAAGTTTAAACAGAGATGCTTGTGTAAAATTGTATTGATCATAACAACAGTGATTCATCCATAAATCAAATGATGAAAAGAGTGTTATAACTGGGCGTATATTCAGATGTGTTGTGCAGTCCAAAACACTTTTTGCATTTAAAAGAGATGATTCAGGTGTCTGGATTACAGTGGTTTTGATCCATGATTGTGCCGTTGCCTGATTTAGATCATTTTTGTGATTCAGGCTATAAATGCACTCTATTAACTCATTTAATAAACAGCAGGTGGGCAGGGACATGGTCTGGTCATGGTTAAAAAACAAAAAACAAACAAACAAAAAGAAATGAAAAATGACAAAACAAACAACAACAAATAATCTTTCAGTGACCAAGTAGAGAAAGAATGGAAATGGAATCAACAGATGTCACAGAATCAGAACCTGTATATCTTGCGTGAGCACCAAGGCTCAATATGGTCTGAACAATGCATGCAAAAAACAGCTCCAATAATTTCTATACATTTTTTAAAGGTGCACTCAGTAAATTTCGCTTCATGTTGGCCAATATGGCAGTCATGTCAGATCATACTAAAGATAAAATTATCAGCAACTGATTCCATTATATTCACAGTTGACCTAGGCCACTGAAAGTCTCAGATACTTTCAAATAAAAGGCCCAAAACTAGTGACCATAACTCAAATATCAAAACTCATGCCACTTCCATAACTAAAATACATGTTTTACAGTCATTTTTATGTTTACTCCAACTTGAAAATCACAATATAGTAGTAATCATCTGTTTTCATAAAGGAACTCACAGGAGGCTCACTACCAGGGCCCTTCTCTCACTAAAATAATCATCTAGCATAGTTTAATCATTGGTGCAATATACAATTTTTCAATACAAGCATGTCAGGCAAATATAGGGAAAAAATATGCAACCTGCAGCAACAGTTTAAAAGTAGCCCAGTTCTGCGGTAAAACCATGTGGGTTGTTGAAATAAATATATATATTGGATTTTATAATAAAATACATTACAAAAATACTATTAATTATACATATGCAGTACATATTATAAAATATACATATATTTAATATATCTAGCTGGTCATGTGATCTCAACATGGCTCCCATTAGGTGTACTGCTTAATGTTCATGATTTTACATATTTTTTCAAAATTACTATTCACATTCATTTAACTCTCTGGGTAAAAAAGTACTGAATGCACCTTTAAACAATGCTGCTCATTATAATTTATCATTCTAATTCTAATTAGCTGAAAAACAGACCGATATAGTTACTCACTCTATGAAGTACACTTCTCCTTTCTCAGTGTAAGCCATCTCCCAATTATCTGGCAGAGGACCCAACTCGTCATTCTCGTCTGGTTTGAGAGGTGATTTTGGTGGTTCTGTCTCTTCTTTAGGGGCATCTGTGGAGGTTTCGGAGGGGCATGTGGTGGGCATCTCTCCTGAGGCATCCGTACTCTTGTCTTCATGTTCACTTGACTCTGAAAAAATGCAAGAAAAATCGCTTTTAACAGAAGTCTAATTCTAAAACTAATGCTTTATGTAATCATTAAACTTTCACCAATATCATAATGAAAAGTTTAAAACAGTAAATGTACTTTAGGATACTTTGCTAAACTGTTTAAACTGCAAAACGCCTCACTAAATCTATAACATTATAACAAGAGAAACTGCAGACCTACATCTCTGATTCAAACACCTCAATCAATTAAAAAGAATCAGACAGTAGAAGTGGATAAAAAAAGATGAAAACGGTGTAATATAATTCAACAGAATAATCACAAAGAGAAGCTACGCTTATAAAAAGAAGCTGTCAAATTTACAATAATCCAGCACTATATTCTGCGAGACGTCTCCAACTTTTATCGGCACGGCTGGTGAAACTCACGAGTCCAAGACTAAAGAGAAAACCGGTGAATGTGAGCGAGACAGACAGAGAAAATATTTATAAGAGAGGGAGATGTAACTGAGATTTGGAGTTTCTGAGAGAATTGAAAAGCAGGTCACTGTAAGAGGGGCATGTTAGAAAAAGAAAAACAGAAGACTGTAAGAAATGATGGAAGAACAGACAGAGATGGAGTTAGCCAGACTGAGACAGTGAAATGGAGTCTGCGGTGAGAAAGCCAGAGAGAAGAAGAGAGGGGGAAAAAAATAGAGAGCCGAACGTGTCCTAGTTTGAGTTATGGAGGTTGGAGGTCCCAAAGGAGAGATCGAGGGGAAGAGGGAGGGAGAGACGAAAGAAAAAGACACCGAATCCCATAACATTCAGCAGTACTGATGTTTTAATCAACTGAAAAATGAAAGGACAGTTTAACTCAATCACACACACAAGCTCTGTTCTGAAACCTAGTGAGCTGTCTATCTAGACAACATTTAAAATCATCAAAGGCGCACAGCGTCTTTGTGCCACACTTGCCAATGGTGGATAAATTTAACCATATATATATATATATATATATATATACAGTGGGTACGGAAAGTAACTATCCCTCCTTAAATTTTTCACTCTTTGTTATATTGCAGCCATTTGATAAAATCATTTAAGTTAATTTTTTTTCCTCATTAATGTACACACAGCACCCCATATTGACAGAAAAACACAGAATTGTTGACATGTTTGCAGATTTATTAAAAAAGAAAAACTGAAATATCACATGGTCCTAAGTATTCAGACCCTTTGCTCAGTATTTAGTAGAAGCACCCTTTTGATCTAATACAGCCATGAGTCTTTTTGGGAAAGATGCAACAAGCTTTTCACACCTGGATTTGGGGATCCTCTGCCATTCCTCCTTGCAGATCCTCTCCAGTTCTGTCAGGTTGGATGGTAAACGTTGGTGGACAGCCATTTTTAGGTCTCTCCAGAGATGCTCAATTGGGTTTAAGGCAGGGCTCTGGCTGGGCCATTCAAGAACAGTCACAGAGTTGTTGTGAAGCCACTCCTTCGTTATTTTAGCTGTGTGCTTAGGGTCATTGTCTTGTTGGAAGGTAAACCTTCGGCCCAGTCTGAGGTCCTGAGCACTCTGGAGAAGGTTTTCGTCCAGGATATCCCTGAACTTGGCCGCATTCATCTTTCCCTCGATTGCAACCAGTCGTCCTGTCCCTGCAGCTGAAAAACACCCCCACAGCATGATGCTGCCACCACCATGCTTCACTGTTGGGACTGTAGTGGACAGGTGATGAGCAGTGCCTGGTTTTCTCCACACATACCGCTTAGAATTAAGGCCAAAAAATTCTATCTTGGTCTCATCAGACCAGAGAATCTTATTTCTCACCATCTTGGAGTCCTTTTGTGCTCTTAGGAACCTTAAGTGCAGCAGATTTTTTTTTGTAACCTTGGCCAGATCTGTGTCTTGCCACAATTCTGTCTCTGAGCTTTTCAGGCAGTTCCTTTGACCTCATGCTTCTCATTTGCTCTGACATGCACTGTGAGCTGTAAGGTCTTATATAGACAGGTGTGTGGCTTTCCTAATCAAGTCCAATCAGTATAATCAAACACAGCTGGACTCAAATGAAGGTGTAGAACCATCTCAAGGATGATCAGAAGAAATGGACAGCACCTGAGTTAAATATATGAGTGTCACAGCAAAGGGTCTGAATACTTAGGACCATGTGATATTTCAGTTTTTCTTTTTTAATAAATCTGCAAAAATGTCAACAATTCTGTGTTTTTCTGTCAATATGGGGTGCTGTGTGTACATTAATGAGGAAAAAAAATTAACTTAAATGATTTTAGCAAATGGCTGCAATATAACAAAGAGTGAAAAATTGAAGGGGGTCTGAATACTTTCCGTACCCACTGTATATATATATGAAAACCATATATATATAGGCCACTGTAACTACAGAAACAGTACATCTAAGATGGTGCACAACAGAAATAAGGAATATTTTTATCTCATAACAATGTGTCTCCTCAGACATTTCATCAACATTTCAAACTGTGGTCAGATATTGCAAGATACCAAAGCATGCAATGAAAAGTTAAATTTCAATAATAACTCAAACATTTCACATAAAATCCCAAGGCCACATTATTTGAGCTATCCACATTGATAGCATAGCTTAATTATATACTCTTACTTGCTGTCAAAATGTGTCTTATTGGTTTCTATTTCTTAAAGAATTTTAAGAGAAACTTTGAAAGACAAGTGTTGGGAAAGTTACTTTGGAAATATAATAGGATACCGATTACAATACCCTATTTAAAATGTAAGAAGTAGTGTAACTATTTCAATTACTTTATTAAAGTAATGTAACTGATTACATTCGATTACTTTTTGATTACTTTTCTAAATTTAAATTTCTATTTTTTTCCCAAAACTTTTTCTAAACTGTTAATCCTTTTCAAACATGTAAACCAGGCAGGGTTAACCTTACAGTGATACTCAACACTGATTACTGTCAGACTTTCAAAATCCTTCATCACTTGAATTAAGATTATAATAATTGAATTTTAAAGCACAGCCACCACAAAATCAGACTTCAGCACCTCTTTTTACTTTGAGACCATTCTAAGGTTAAATAAGATATAGTTTAATAGCTACTGTTTTTGAAATCAAATCTTTGCATAACTATGACATGAAACACTGGCATCTAACAATGCCTTAAAAATAGTTAATTTAAAAAATAAAGCATATAGCTACACAACATAAGCATATACACAAACTCCTGAAACATTGGTGTTTCATATTTTAGAGCAGTCAATGCAATTTGGAAAGAAATTAATTAAATCTGCATGTGTGTGAAAATATTCAGATGTAACGTCTCGGTTACGTATGTAACCCTCGTTCCCTGAAGGCTGAAAGGGAACCCCCTTTTGTAATCATTAACTTTTTCATAAGTAACTGTAATTTAATTACACTGTTTTTTCTCAGTAACTGCAACAGATTACAGTTAAATTTATTTTGTAATTAAATTACATAATTCCGTTACATTTAACTAGTTATTTCCCAACACCGTGAAAGACAAAGTTGACACTTTAGTCAATAATTGAGAACTCCATTAAAGTCAACATTAAACTCCATTTGCAACTCATTTCATGTCCATAAAGTGATGTATTTCTGAGTGAAAGAATATTTACCCACTTTTTTGACTAGAATGTGGAGGCTGACGGGTTAGTTCACCCCAAAAATGAACATTCTGTAATTTTGTCATCAATTACTCAGCATTGTGTTGTTCCAAACTCATAAGTCTTTCATTCATCTTTAAAACACAAATAAAATTCAAATATGGTAAATCTTAACTGTACATGCTTAAGGAACTTTCTCACACGTCAAGCAAGTACAGGTGAGTTTCCATTTACCATATTTGATTTGCTCTATGTATGTGCATTGAACAAATTTGACTGAGGTTTTTATGTGAAAAACAGCCTAAATTAAATTTATTCAACATTTAAAGGAGAAGATTGGATTAAAGAGCTCAGTTCATATGGATTTCTGTTGCAATGTCTTGATGTACTTTTGGAAGCATCAAAGTTGGAGTGGAAGTTCAATGGAGGTACAATTTTTTTTTTTTGGGTTAACTATCCCTTTAGGGTCCCCCACTTATTTTTGAAATCTATCTTCATTATTGCCATAAACATCACTATATCAACATTAACCAACATTCAATTAAAACAGGCAAGAATTCAGAAAACCTTGGAAAACAATGCCTAAACAGCTATTTGGCCTTTGGTTAACATTATTTCCAGTCTAGGCAATGTTAACTGAAAGTTTCAGATTTTTTCCCCTCTTTCAAATAACATGGACTGATGAATCATGCACAATAAGACCAGGAACTTGTATTAAGAAAGCAAATAGGGTCAGTTTTGATTTCATGTTGAATTTAAGTGCACTGAGCTATAAAAGCTCTGAGCAATACATTTTCCTCTGGCAGTTCTTTATATTACTACATGTCAACAATTTTCTCACTGTGTTAGATTCTAAATCACTATGTCATGCTGCTGTATTAAAGCCAGAAGAAAACAAAAGTTTTTTTCAGTACATCCAGACTTGATGCACGTTTCCGCCCCGCAGAGCTGCTCTTATGGAGTGCAAAAACAAGGAACGTGTGATAACATGCTGGCGCGACAGTTGCTAGGCTATTGCCCTGACAACAGTGGTTACTATGAGATCATTTAGAGTGGAGGCGGTTGCTATGATGATGCACCTATTGGCCTCACGGTAATCATCTCTATGCTAGTAACCCTGATCTGAGGTCACAGCAGTAACTGGATTTACTACACTGGAGAGCCGCACATGACAAGATCTCTCTTCTTCTTAAATTGATTGAGAGCTCCTCACCTGGGGTGATGGCCACTCCGTTGCCGTTGATGACAGGCCTCTCCTCCTCTTCCTCCTCGGGCGGCTCAATGCCAGCCTTCTCCATGTTGCTGACGGACTTGTTACGTCTGCGTTTGCCCTGGGATCTGGGTGTAGCGCCTGGCAACAGCTGCTCAGCTACATTCAGCAGCAGTGGGCTGGGCTCTGCCGGGGGCTTCGGGGTGCCGTAATAGTTATCTGCAACCAATCAGACATTTGATGCATAATTGACATTTGAAAGTTTATAATGTAAGCTCTGCCACCACCATGTCACAACTGGAGGAACGGAGAAAGACGCAGTTTCCTGCATGTTGTTAATCAGCCTCTCAAGCAATTAGCAAGGAACTTTTTTCCAGTGGGTGTTTACTGTAGTTATACTTTGGGGACAAAATTGCTTCCAGAAGTGAGCTGCCTCTGCAGACACATATTTTAGGGACTTCCGGCAACATGACATTAAAGTGATTCAAAAATATTGTTTATTAAGTCTCAAAGTAAGAAAAAAATGTTAAGGTCCTTGCACACTAAGTCTGAAATTTTCATATGCGTTTTTTCTTATTCGTCATCCTAGATGTCCGATGCGTATTAATTAATCCGTTGCGAAAAAATTAGCAAAACAGTACTAAATGGAGTCTTCAAGCAGTGAGGATGATTTTGTTGTCCTCTCACTTCTTAAAAAGAGAAAAAGAAAGGAAATATTGGATCCATCCAATCCTGAGATATAGAGAGGAAGGAGAGTTCCCCCTCGTTATTAAGAAGCAGCAGGATTATTACGGGCGATTCAAAGTTTACTTCAGGATGTCAGTGGCTCAGTTTGATGCTTTGCTAGCAATACTAGGACCACATATTAAAAAGAAGACCACCAATTACTGTGAACTCAGTGTGCAAGGATCTTCATAGTGCTTTGTGCTGCGAGACGAAGTAGATGAACTTCACAATCGCCATTCTGGATTTTGGCGTTTGCTTGTACGGTGGCTCTGAATTGTCAAAACACCTCTCAAAATGCTTGCCACGGATGCGAAAAACACACAAAATCGAACCCGATACAATTTTTGTTTATGACGGACGAAAGTTTCGGAGGCAGTGTGTAAACTTAATTGACAGTTTTTTTAAGTGCAAAAATTTCGGACTCAGTGTGCAATGGCTTTAGGCTTGGTGTTTAGTAATTAAGATTGTAGTATTGTTTTTAACAGTAGTTAAGTTTGAAAAAAATGAAATAGAAATACACAGAGTATGGATCAAATTATCATCTCAAATCATGTTTTTGAAAGAAAAGGTTTACTATAATCTAATCTAAATATAATCTAAAATTATAGTAAACAGTGTGATAATGGTTAATTTTCTATTTTAATAATGTTGGTGCTCCAGAAAAATTTGAAAATGATTTTGCTGCTAAGTATTTTTTGTGGAAACCATGATACATTTTTTTTTTCGGGATTCCAAAATGACGAGAAGAAAGTTCAAAAGAACACCAATTATCAATTTTGAAATATAAATCTATTTATTTTGATCAATTACTGTATATGTATCATACTGAATAAAAAAAAAACGTAATTGACAATTTGCCGGGAGTTTGATTGACAGGCGATCTGACCAATCATAACGCCAAATCTGCCATTTTGTTCAACAAACAAACCAGACAGGAGAGTAGATTAACATCGGTGGACATGAACTTGAAAAACGGAGTGTGTATTGACATCTTTCCATGGTTGAAGCAAGGTACCTTCTGATGTTCATTCATGTTTATGTTATGCTTTAACTAGTAAAGAGGAAGAGATGATCGGGTCACATGCCGCTTGAACTGAGGCGCTACAGTGATCTGTCATGACACATTAAAGAGCCACAAAACAGTATTTATTCTTTGAATTTCTTTAAAAAAATGACACAATTTGAAAGCTGAGACTTTGTTTCATAACAAAAGTGACCTGCTCTGTCTTGTCTGTCGGCATGTTGTCAGGTTCCTCTTTGCTCCACAATGTATTTTTCACTGCTTGAGAACATGATTTGTGACGTGAGCGCCATTGCTTGTCGGACATAGCAACAGTAACTAGGTGGGGCGGGTCTTTGCAAACTTTTTAACAGTAGTGAGTATGGAAGTATATACAGGCCTACATATACACATATAAAAAAGCAAATTTTTTAATATGGACATGTCCCTAAACCATCAATACCCTAATCTACACACATAGTAGTAATTATAATTAGCTTTATATAAAAATAAGAATATATAAAAATTGGAAAAATAAGTCTGGTATGTACTTAGATGACTAGTCAGATGACAAGGTAAACGTGAAGTGTTCATAATATCTTACTACTGTGATTGGAAATCTTGTCTCCACAAACAAACCAACAAAACGTACTCGGTTACTAACGTAACCTCGGTTCCCTGAGATAAACGAGTACTTCTAGACGCATATGGGAAAAAAGCCTTTTTTCTCCTGAACTGAAGCCTATTCATTCACGCTTCACGCATGCACGGCCATTGGTTCGTGCAGAGCTTAAAAAACGAACCAATGGCTCCGGCGCGG